AGTGGGCTATTTTAGGTTAGCAAGTTGTGTAGAACTGTCCCATTGCGTATTATTATGGGAGGGCGTTTATATTGGCCCCATTAAACTTAGCAATGAACAGAAGTCTGTGATCTGAGCAGACCTTGGGTCTAACACTGGAAAACTTGGGGTACTGGGTGGGTTGGCACATGTCTAAAAGACATTTAAGGAAAGGAGAACCGGTCCCCTCCCTCCTTGGACCTTTTAGTTGGGATTGGTCAGTTTACTCTTGCAGGTCTGGTTTCCTAGATTGTGCAATTTAAAGGACAGCTAGAGCAAAAGCCCAGAGGGATGAAGTAGTCTAGAGTTTGGGGGCAAAGGTTCCTTCTGGCAGTGGGAAAAGGCTTGGGAAATAGGTTTGAGCGACAATAGCAATGAAGTCCTAAATGTTTGTGCTTCCTTTAGTCCTGAAAATGATGGACTGGCCAGGTCAACCCAGCTACTTCCTCTCCCTGTCCTCTTGGAATACTTTTTTCCTTCCTTGAAACTTTCCTGACTGTTGTTCTAAGTAGGGCCTTACACAGGAGGCCCCTTTCTTTGGTATCTTCCCTGTTACATCTTGGCCGACTCTCCCTTTTCCATAAGGTGTGGTGTCACCTTAACTGATCCACAGGTCCAGTCTAAATTCCCGTTTCCTGGTCTGCAGTTAACTCGGCTCCAGCGCTTGTTTCCTGTTAAGGTCTGGCTGCCCTTCCAAATCAACTCCGAGGGACCTTGGGTCCCGGAAGTGGTCTGTGTGGGGGCGGGGCCGAGGTGGAGCCTGGGAGCTGGCATCCCCCGGAAGAGCCGAAGAACAAGATGGCCGGCCCTGGGAGGGTTCTGTGTAGGTGAACCCGCATAGGGGCGAAGCAGGGTGCTCGTGGGCGCAATTGAGTTAAGACTGGGGAAGGCGTGTAGTGGACCCGAGTCCCGTCAGTTGAGTTTTACCCCACAACCTGTGAACAGTGCTCCGCGACCTAACCGCTTTGCTGGAGTTAGCGCTGCCCAGAGCCCTTCCCCTTCGGACCCAGGACTCAGGTGGGGAGATCTGTTGTGACCTCGAACCACATCCCATAGTTTCATAATCATTCACTCCATAAACGCCGCAGCCCTGGCCCTTTAGATGAAGGAACTGCCAGAGTAGCTGGGGAATGATGAAGAAGACTTCACTGCGTGGGTTGGTGAGCACTGTAATGCGGTTGTTGTGACAGTGGTGACGAGGATTGGGCTGGAGGTTTTAGGGAATGACTGCTCCATCTGGAAAAATGAAAGCAAATTCGGAGGCACTGAGGCCTGAGCTGAGTGTATCAGGAGTTAGGCGGCCAAGGTGGGAGCAAGACTTGCTGGAAAGAGCAAAGGGCTGAAGTAGTCTAGCCCTTTGGGGCAAAGAGCTTGTGTTGGGGAAGCCAGTGGAGAAGAAGCTATAGAGGTGGGCAAGGTTCAGGTTATGAAGGTCTTGTATGCCATGCTAAGGAATTTGAACACTATCCTGTGGGCACTGCTGAGTGTTCAGAGAATGTAAGCAGGGCAGTGATGTAATCAGACTTGGGCTTTCTTGGTATCTTTCTACTGACTATAGAAGAGTGAACACCGAAGCGAGTGAAGCTGTCCCACTGACCAGAGGCAGAGATGCAGGTGTGAAAAGGGATGGGGAGGAGTCACTTTGTATACCAAAGAGAAGGTAGGAACCCCTTCCCCTCCCTGTGGCTGTCTTGCTAACAGTGTTGCAGCAGCTGTATGAAGAGTGTGGAGGACCTTGGTTCTTAAGGTGCTTGGTGTCTTTGCAGGTGGGCTGGCAGAGGAGGTAGATGACAAAGAGTTCTTCATGCTGCTTTTGTTCCTTTTGGAGACATCATGGATACTCAGGTTTCACTGGATTATGAAACGGGTGAGTCCTTTCAGTGTCTTTCATGTTCAGAGTCCTCATGCCAGAAAAAGAAGAGAGAAAAATTTTAAGTCGTGCATTCTGTGTGTGGTTGATACGTAATGATGTTTGGGAGGATGTCTCTAGGTAAACATAACTGATCTTGGTGATGGAAAAGGAATGTTCTGAGGATAATGTGGAGACGGTGGGGCAGCTGTAGGCTGAAATTTACAGAGACTGATAGTTTGGAAAGGAAAGGCTTTCTACATGCTGGACCATTTGGGGCTTTGCTTTGTGATCATTTAATGATATAAACTGTAGTAAGAATGAGTAGGAAGATAATCTTAGAAAAATCTTGAAAGGTCTGGGTGTTATTTCACAGCCCCTTCTAGGTAGCTGTACCCCACCACCCCTGCTGACCAGACCTCCCTGCTTGACAGCTGTGCTAGAAAGCAGAGGACAGCAGGGAAGCTTGGCCTCAGTGGTACAGCCTTGTCCTCTGCTCATCTTGATGAGTTTTTCTTCACTTGGTGTCACAGTTACAGCACATGTTTCTATTTGATCCTTGGTCGTTATTTTCTAAGGTATCTTCCCTGTTAGACCCAGCTCTGCCAGCTAACTTTGGGTGTGACACTTAAATCTCTGAGTAATTCTTAAATAAAGCATTGAGACTGGCTTTTGAGCTCTGTAAATTAGTGTGATGTAGTTATGGGCTGAAATTTGCAAAATCCTATTGCTCTTGCTCTCTGCCAGCTAGAATAACTTTTTGCTGAGGACAAGCACTACGCTCCTTTCTCTAGTCGTCACCTACTCAGTGGTGAGGTCAGTGCTCTGTGCACAGCTGATGCTCAGTCAGAATGAATCATTGATAGATTAACAACTTATTCTGTTTTCTATAATCTTGTAAACAAAAGTTAGAGTGCATGGAAAGTAACTTATGGCTCAATTTCTGTAGTGGTTGACTTGGATACTACAAAGTTGAAAAACCGTTCACTATTTAGCTATGTTTATTAAAATGAGCAGAATGACTTTAACATTTCTGGAAGCATTGTTGACTAAATCAAGAAAAATCTAAAAATTAGATTTTCATTTGTTAAATATCTGGATATGGCATGTTTTCTCCTATTGTGCACATATTAACCTCCTGTTTCTGCTATTATACAAAAGAACTGAAGGTTTGCTTTTTTTGAATTTGAGTTGACAGAGGTAAGAAATGTTCCCTGTTTAGTATTTGACTAATGTTGCTGTCCTCATTGGTTACAACAGGTGCTACTCTCCATTTGGGTGGGTGTAGTAGATTCCTGGGCTGCCATATCAAACTACACAAACTCAGTGGCTTAAAACAACAGACATTTATTCACAGAGCTCTGGAGGCTAGAAGTCTGAAATCAAAGTGTGGCAGGCCATGCCCCCTCTGAAGGCTTACAGGAATCCTTCCCTGTCCAGCATCTGGTGGCTCCTGGCAATTCTTGGCATTCCTTGGTTTATACCTGCATCACTCTAATCTCTGTGCTCTCTTCACATGGACTTATTCTCTGCATGTGGCTTTCTGTGTCTTCTCCTCTTATAAGGACACCAGTCATTGGAGTTAGGTCCCACCACAATCCAGTAGGACCACATCTTAACTAATTACATCATCAGAGACCTTATTAGGGTCACATTCTGAGACGGGGGTAGACATGAAATGTTGGGGGAGACTAATCAGCCCCTAGAGTGTCTTGGTGGTGACAGTTGATAAGGGGCAGGAAGTTCTGGTTGATGGAAGGCCCACCAGGCCTGGCTCATAGTTCCTCTCATGTAGTCAGAATATGAAAGACAGATCCTGCTGAACCCCAAGCCCTCTGGGGCCTGGCATTGCTGGTTCCTGTTTCCCATGCGTATTCTCTGTCTCCATAAACTGGGTGCACATCCTTACACCACCAGCTCTCTCACAAAGAGTTAGTACAATCTCATTAAATACTTACAACCAAGGCAGGTAGGAAGGGAGAATGTCTTTTTTCCTATGCTTGTGCTATTGAGCTTGTATTTGAATGCTAACCACAGGAAGAGTTGAACTGCAGCCATGAACTTTTTCCTCGTATTTTGGCGGGATGCTGCAGCAGCCATTGACAGCATGGTATGGCTGAGAATCTTTGCTTTTTGCTGAACCTGTTACTTGGTCTATTTTATAGTACATGGGATCCTCATACGTGTATTGTGTTTCCAGTTGAATAGTTTTAAAGTTACACAGGAAGCACAACTTGTCATTGTCTGAAAGCATTCACTATGAACTTTCTACTTTAAAATTAATTGTATTCAGAAATCCTCTCCATTTAAGGTTTGCTTAAATACTAACCATCTCTGTTGGCATGTCTCTCCCTAACATTTTTGTGCTTACATCAAGGGTTACAAACTTCAGTTCAGCTATGGGCCAGATCCATCCTGTACCCTGCTTTTGTATAGCCTATGAACTAAATGGTTCTTATATTTTTAAAGGGTTGTAGGACAAAAAAGAAGAATATGCAGCAGAGACTGTGACCTGCAAAGTCTAAAATATTTACTGTCTAGCCCTTCACAGAAAGTTTGCCTACCTCTAGTCTAGGGCAATAGACTGCAACTAAAGTGTAAATTGATTGCAAGGTAAAATTGTGAATCTTGCCTCAGAGACAGGGTTTCTTGAAGTGTATGAAAGTGAAAGGAAAACTGTTGTCTTTAGTCAATAAAAGTGAGGCTCTTTTGAGCCATTGAAAGGGATTCTGTTATAAATTAAACCAATTGCCAGTAGAGGAAAAAAAAGCTACAAGGTCAAGTGCTTCAAAAGAAAATGATTTGATTCCTATTGCTGCTATAACAAATTACCACAAATTTGGTGGCTTAAAAACAACACAGATACAATCTTATAGTTTTAGACGTCAAAAGCCGAGGTGGGTCTAAAATCAAGGTTTCAGTAGGGCTGCATTCTTCCAGGGGCTCTAGAGGAGGGGAACTTTTGTTGAGTTCGGTGCTGATGCTGACTTTTTTAAGGTAGACTCAGGTTCTTAGTAACTGCATTCACCCTTATAATTTCAGAGTCCTGAGCTCAGATCCAAATGTGGTGCCAGCACAGACCTTCCTGTGATGCTGTTGAAAGGAAGTGTGTAGTGGCTCGGGTTTTCTGTGGTTAGCTTTGTGTTTAGCTTGCTGTTGAAGGATGTGAGCTCCCAACATAGAATTAATCGTGAGCAAGTCTCAGACTTCTTAGATGTGAATGGAAGGCTGTCAGGTCTTCTTTTAAGCTAACCAGGTTTAAGCAGCTAAGTTGTATTACGGTCTTTCCAGACTGAATCTGAGCTCTTTGGGTGGATAATTCGTGTCAGATTGGCCAAACCAGTGAGGATTAAGGAAAGCTCATCCAGACCAGGTAAGTGGGAGCAACCACAGATTCTCCATCACACCCTCCACTTTGCCCTCTGTTGCATTTTTATCTCTATCTTACTTTCTGCTGTGGTGGCAGTATATACACAATTAGTGTGATGTATAGTGGAGAAGAGAATGCAGTCCCTCCGTGGAAATAAAGAATTTGAGATTCTCAGCAAATCTAGAGGCATCGTCCCCATGAAAGTCTTGCTTTGGGACATAGGCATAGACTGTGCCCTTCCAGCTTTGGTGAGGGTTGGGACTTCCCTTTTGGCTCTGCTTATTCCCTCCTTATTCCCATCTGCCTCTGCTAAGAGCTGGACTTAAAGGCCTGACATTTCCTCTTGATGGCTTTCCTTGCCCTGGGGAGCTCCTAAGAGGTGGTTTCTGCCTGTGAGAGCCACATGGTATGTCCACTTTGCTCACCCAGGCAGCAAAGACCTGTAGCCGTTGGCTGATAGCTGGACTTTGTTCACATATGTTTGATTCCTTCCTTTCCGTTTGGTCAGATGGTGACTGGCTGAAGAAGTTTTCCAGTAGGACCCTTGGAGAGACTAAAGAAGAGGAAGGGTTGGAGCCTTCCAAGGTGGAAGCCCAGGAGGTGAAATTGAAGGCTGTGCTTCTAGAGGAGAGGCGGGCATACTCCCCTTCACACCCCAGGGCACTTCTGATGTGGGTGGGGGATGGGGGGAGCTGAATGCAGAAGCTTTGGGTTTCGTGTGCTGGTAGGGCTGGAGTGAGAGTACCTTACACCTGAGTACTGATTGTGATTGCCGTTGAACAAGGGGACGTCGGAGGTGAGAAGGGGCGGTGAGTGCTCCTCATCAGCAGCACCTGCCATGCCCCCACTCCTCCTGCTCCCTCTCTGAGGACCTTGGCATCAGGCCCACTGATTCCGGGGAGGCCCTTGCCCTCAGCCTGTGCTCGGGGGCAGGCTGCCTCGGCCCTTTCTCCTGCTTTTCAGTGCACCATCCTGACCTCTGCTTCATGGGATAATTCGGGGGCTCCTCCTCTTTGACCAGCAGTATTTATCTGAGCTCCTTCCCTAGCCCTCTCAGCTCCTTTCTCCACACTGTCCTTGTGCAGTTTCAGCCAGTTTTGTCCCTGGTTTGAGGTTGTCACAACCACTCAGTGTTCTGGTGATTTTCTGATCTCTAGTTCAAGCCCTGACCTCTCTCCTGAGTCTCACATATTTCTGCCTGAGTGTCTTACAGTCGCCATAAATACACAGAGCATAGCCCACGTGGGTGTCCTCTCTCCTTGAACTCTGGTCTGCCCAGGTGCCTAAGCTTAGCTAATTTTGCCATCTTACAAAGTCACCCTAACTAGAAACCTAAGTGTCATCTGAGATCCCTCATCATAATCCACACCTAATTTTTGCTCTATCCTGCTATTTTTTCTCCTACATCTTCCTAAATCTCTCCTCTCCTGTTTGTTCTTGTCACATACACTGTCTTGGTCTAACATCTGTTACCTCTTAGGTGAATAATGATATAGCTTCCTAACTGGTCTCCCTGCCCCAGGCCTGCTTCCCCCTTCCTGAGCAGCCAGCGGAGTATTTCTCAGGCACAGGTCTGACTATACCACTTTAGTCAAGCATTCTAGGGGCTCCTCAACTATAGGATTGAGTCCAGTCCCTTCAGAGGGACAGAAAGGCTCTCTGGGTTCTGACCTTGCTCATCTCTCTACATTGTATCCCTGTTTTATATTCTAGAAAATAAGGGTTTGTAAGTACCTCTCATCCCTGTTTTCACATATCTAGTTTTTTTGTCCACAAAGCCCTTCCCAACTTTTTGGAGCCGGCTAACTCCTACTCACCTTTCATAGTTGAGCTCAGTTGCTGCCTTCTCCGGGAGACTTCTGAATCCTCCAGTTGAGTGAGATGAGTGTCCCTCCGGGGCTTCCATGGCACCTTCTCACCTAGCGTTTACTGCATTATATATGCCAGGCACTGTCTTAAGGGCTTTACAAATATTTAATATTAATGATTATCCTTTGAGATAAGTACTGTTATTAGCCCTGGTTCCAGGTGACACAATTGGGGCACAGTGAGGTCAAATAACTTGTCCAGTATTACACAGCTCATAAGTGGCAGAGCTGAGATTCAAAGCAAAGTTGTCTAGTTCCTGGATCTGTGTGTGCTCACATTTGTGGCTAGCTCTTCCCTAATGGATGGCCAGTTTGTCAAGGGCAGGAGACAAGTCTGCTTGGTATCCCCAGCACATGACATCAGAGCTCAATACCTATACACTGACCTACTGTTCCACACTACAAAGAGGTCAGAGACCGCAGGGTGTTCTCTGTCAAACAAATGGTAACATTTGTCGTGAATGTTTTATCATCTAGTCAGCCTGGTCTCAATGGAGCACAGTAAGCCCCATCCTCCTTCACGGTCTTCTCAGCACTTAGGCCCAGGCAGGAGGGCAGCCCCTCTGCTTCCGTTGTAGCCAGCCCATGACTAAGTAGGCTTAGGCACAGAGCGAGAAGGTTGTGGGTCAGTTTAACAGGAGTAAGGTGGGTGACTTGGACCAGTGTTTGAAGATGTTGAGAGTTCTGTATTGTGGGCCAAGCAAGTGATGTTCTGTGACTGCAGGGCAGGGTGACACCAGCTGATTGTCTGAGGGCCAGTGTGATGACATAACGCGCCTGTGGGATGGGGATTGGGTTCAATGGTGCTGAGGTCCCTGTCCCTAGATGTCCAGCTGGGTGCTGCATCCATGGCCTCTGCCTTCTGCAGCCCCACCAGGCCCTCCCTGTCAGCACCTTGCTCCAGCCCGCTAACTGCCCTGGGTTCTGGGTGTGCATTCTGAACACGCTCTCCTCGGAGAGTCAGGGATCCTCTCGAACCTAGAAATTTCTTCTGCACCTAGGGAACGCCCTCTGCAAAGAAGGCCCGGTCAAATCCCCAGGTGTACATGGACGTCAGGATTGGGAACAAGCCTGATGGCCACAACCACATACCCCTGCATTCCAGTGCGTTCCCAGGACCACAGGTGAGCAGGACACCAGTCAGGATGCTGGCAGCTGGCAGACTGGGGAGGAAACTACCTGGAACCCTGGGCCCTGGACCCCAGACCCGAGTGTTTCTGAGGCATCTTGGACCCCCGCGTCTATTAACAAATGAGGCAGAGCAGCAGTTTTGAAGCTCTAGAAAGGCTTAGTTACAAACATTAGA